TTTCTGGACCCATGGGGCCCAAAAACAGAAGAGAAAAGACCCCAATTTCAGACCTGAAGCTGAGGGCAGGGTGATGGCTGGCTCCTGCTCCCTCATGTGTCCATTCCAGAGCCACTTGGAAGGCCCCCATCCCCTTCTTCCTAGTCAGGACCCAGGTAGACCTAACCTCTCAGGAGCCACAAGGCACAGCACAATGTACAACAGACTACATACATATGGGACCTTCCTCCTAAGCAACATAATGTTACCTCCCACGCAGCCAAAGTTCTATAGAGATTTTACCAGCAGAAGCTGCTGCAGAACCCAGTCCTGCTGATCATCCATCATTCATTGTAGCAGGGTGGTCAGTCCCCAAGGTCCACTCTCCTAGCCTGGGAGCACAGGTGCTCACTCTTTGCAGGCAAGCAGTTGCCAGACCTCTGGGCCATACCTTCTCTCTGGGGAAAATGGCAACTCCCCCAAGGTGACCCACAAAGGATGCCAGTGAGGGCCACATCGCCACCCGTAGACCCACCCCATAGTGAACAGACTCCAGTCCAGACTTACTTGACAAACTTGTCCACATGGGACATGGAGGCCTCGTAGTTTTTTCCTCCGAACTCCTGGCAGTGCAAGGCCATAAAGTGTGGCTTGTGAGCATGCAGGACCTGGGAAGAAAACACAGGGTCAGGGCTCAGAACTACTGCAAGGCAAAGTGATATGCATCTTACCTGCTGCCTCCACAGCTGGGGCTTCCCCACAGACAGCAGGGCAAAGGCCACACATTTGTACAAGCTCTTAACAGATTCTATGAGTTGGCCACTTTTATGCCTCCCACTGTTTGTTTCTAGCCTCCTATGTTTCTTAGCCTCTAAGATTGATAATTTCTAAGAGCCTTCTTCAATAACCGAGGTGCATCTTTCTCTAATAATGAAAAAACAAGGCTTGCTGACCCAAGACCATCTGGAAAGCTCACAACCTCACCATAAAGACCCTGTCTCCTGTGCATCCCTGTTAAGGGAGTGAATCCAGACAATCATATGTGTGACAGATTGCGCTTGTATGCATGTACATGTGAACACATGCATGAAGACATGTGTGTCAGCTTGAGTTGGTATGAGAGTGCTACTTGTGTGCTGGCACGTCTGCATGTGTGTGTGCTTGCACACAGGCACCTTCATATTTGGGAATCATCAAGTCTGGCTTATGAGTTCAGTCCAGTACCCATGCTGTCTGAAGCACTGGATGTGTACATCTTGTGTTCTCCACAGCTCTACAAGGTGGTGTCCTCCTGGAGCACAGAGCAGACAGCACTTCACGGGGCAGACCACTGGTGGGAGGCTGGGCTCCAGCAGCCACCGTGGAGTAGTGCAGTGGGAAGGAAGGGCCTCCAGGGAGGAAGGAAGGTGGAAGTCAGCAAAGGAGCTGCCAGGTTGGGGTCACAGCCACGAGGCCAAGGTGGTAGCAGTGGAAACCCACAGGTAAGGCTGGGAGCCAGGGCACCTGGAGCCAGAGGCTTAGAAGCTATTCACATGCAACAATCACCCCCGCCCCCCATGGCCTTGCAGTCCCTGCCCTTTCCTGCACTCCAGGTGCAGCACCACATGGCCTCAACACAACCATCACCAATAGCCTTGTTATGAAAGAAGCCATGAGGCAGGAAGCCCCACAGTAGCTTCCCAGTGGCAGCAACCTGCCCTAGTGGTGGGCCCACACACAATGCATTGCAGGCTTTCTTCACGTGAAGGCGGTACAGCACCCCACCTAGAACTCTTTTTCACCATGGGGTTTTGTCACTACATTCCTGGGACTGCATTCAGCACAAGAAACAGAGGTGAACTTCCAGAAGGATAGTCACAGATTCATGACTTCAGCCAAGCGCAGCTCCCTAGAACGCCAGAGAATTTTCCTACCCAGCTCTATCAACTGGGAAGGGTCAGAATGGAAAGGAAGCAGAGGAGTGTGTGGCACTCAGACTGAGATGCTGATATCCAGAGTGACACCCCTATCTTCTCTGAAGTGATAATGATGCTAGAAGGCTTCAAACTCAGTCCCCAGACAGGCTGGTAGAAGCCACTTTAACAGCCTCCTTTTCAAGGAAGACCAGGACATCCTGTGTCCCTCATATGTAGGCATCTGCTGGCCACTCTGCTCCCTCCTTTGACTGCCCGAGCCCCAGTGGGAACCAAAAGTCACAACTTTCATTTTATGTGCAGAAGTGCATAACTACTATCTGCAGGTCTTCTGGTGGCTTTCAACTTCCAAATGAGACTGTCCTTCTTTAAATGACTTTTTGTTGCTGTTTAAACAAATACCCTTTAATAGGACTAAAGTCAATATTTGAATGACATTAACTCAAGGTTCAACTCTGATCCTACTTATCTTCAAGAGTGGAAGGACTGAAGATCAGTAGCTACAAAAGGACTCAGTGGTTGGCCCAACTGCAGGCTGTGAAAGAAGGAGCCACTGGAGAGCAAGGGAGACGCCAGCCTACCAGAGCAGAGGGTGTGGTACCCAAGACAGAGACTCCCCAGACATCTGGGCACTGCTTGGACGGAGTCTGGTCTCTGCCAGATGCTTCAGAAGACAAGGGCAGGCTCGCAAGGACAGCAAGGAAGGCAGCTACGGAGGAGGCCAGGCCATGCTGTGGTTGCAAGATAACTTTCACTAAGGAGATATCCTCAGGCCACACGGCAAATATTCTCTCTGCTTCCCAAGAGCTTTGCTTAATCAATGTGAGGTGTGTGCACCCTGAGCCCCTGTATGCCAATGATTCCTTGCCCTGGATTCCACTCTCCATCGCTGGGGCCTGTCTCCACAATGAGGTCTGGAGATTGCCTTATGGCCATCATCATCTGCCTTAGGACCAGGCTCCTGCCTTGCCCAAGCTGCTTCTAGGAATTAAAGACAAGGCTTGTCCCATAGGCAGTGGGGAGGAAGCCATGAGCTGGTGTGATAAAGGGCCATGCGTCACTGCTACGTGACAGGGCTCCTTTCTTTCATTCCCACCAGGGTGTACTCAGCTTGGGTTCCATCTGCACTGGATGTGGGGGCATGGAGTTCACAATAATGACAACACATCTACAATGGCCAGGGAAGCAATGGGTACTATTACCTCCTGAGATTCCCAAGAGCCTGTGTGTCTGGGGTACAGATGAAGAGTGGCCAACTCGGGAGGCTGGGGAAGGTTGGCCCCACCTAGCCACTGCAACAGCATCAGGGGGATATACTGGGTGGGCATTCCTCGTGGGCACCACATACTGTCCCCATCTTGGGCCACTCTGCTAGGACTGCTTGCTTCTCTCGTGAGAATGTGTACCCAGGACCTGCCTAGCACTCAATGAGAAAACTCATTTAGAGCTACATCGAGGTGCTTTGGTGGTGTGTCCCTTCTCCTCATAGACTCACATCCAGGTGACTTGTGGGTGTCAGTTCTCCTTATTGACCACGTCCAGGGTTCTTTCATGTATGTCCATCCTCCTCATAGATTTAGGTCCAGGTGGTCTGCTATGTTCCCATTCTCTTGGTGGACTATGTTTCAAGCGGTTTGGTGGTATGCTTGTTTGTATCATAGATTTGCAGGCCAATATCACAGCCAGAACATTGCCCTTTTCAGAACACTGTCTTCCAGGTATTCCACTTCTGCTCGGCCTCCACTGTGCAAGTTCTCAGCCCCTTCCCTCCTCTGTGGCTCCTCTTCTCTTGCTTCTTCTTCAGCTACTCTTGTCTGAGGTGGAGCTATGCTTCTGTTCATTCCCGGACAACCTAAGCCACCACTGTGGTGCATGGACCCGTCTTGGGTAGAAATGTGGATGATTAAAGCATTATGTGTCACAGGACTATAGTTGGAATTACAAAGAAGAGAAGGAAAAGGAACAGGAAAAGAAGTCATTTAAAACAATTACAGCTATAAGCTTGCATAGTTTGGTAAGAGACATAAATTTACAGACTCTAAAAGTTAAGTGAATACCTAACAAGATAAAGCCAGAGAAAGCCAAACAAGCATCACCAAACTAATGAAAACCAAAGATTGGGGGCGAGGTGGGGTGCTGCATCTATCAAGAGAAAAGCAACACCACACAGACTTAGGGAAACACTTCAGGTACCCTAAAATCATTACTATGGGATAGCTTTCACATGCTGACAGGAACACGGACCATATCCTTCAGGAACAAAGGCAAAATAAATACTCTTTCACAGGAAAAAAAAACAAAAACAAAAAACCCCTCAGAAAATCCCAGCCGCCAGATCTATTCTGCTCCATGTGCTCTGTGTTTGGATGGTACAGGGGCCTCTGGAATGCTTGTGATGAAGGAAAAGCCTGGACAAGCAGAAAGATGGCTTCTTCCTTCTTCAAATATGTAGGATGAGCTACCAGCATGGCTGAAGGCAAGCTGGCCTCCAAAACTTGGCCCCCAATTTCATATATACATATATAGATAGATACAGATATATACATATATATGTTATATATATTCAACATAAGCTATATTATGCATGTGACATACAAACCTTGGTACATATAATTACATACAAGCTTAGCCTCAGCATGGCTTACAACAATGTGGTGGCCACCGTCCCCACCCCTGAACAGGGCTTCCAGAAAGCAAAAAGTTAAGAGCAAGAAACAGAAGGTACTCCTCTGGGGCAGATTCCAGGATAGCTGGAGAGACTCCAGGAGATCACAGAGGTCTGCACTTTAAAGTAGATGGGCATGAAAGGGGACCATCTGAGACAGGGTTCCTGAGATGAGAAAAAGATTAAAAATAAAACAGGAGGAAACAGTCCAGGTAACGAGCAGTAAAAGATGAAGAAGAAACAGGCGAACATGCAGTCTGCCGAGGCAAGAACCATGATGTTCGAGAGGCAACAGCAGCGAAATGAGCCACAATCAGCCAGGGTACCTGGAATCTATACAACTGTCAGGAGAGGGCGCCAGCGCACCAGGGAGTCCACAAACACACTACCATCACCACCAACAGCAGACAGGATGATGCTTGTGAGGTTTAAAAAGTCCTGCAGTGCTGGCTTCGGCAGCACATATAATTAAAATTGGAAAGATACAGAGAAGATTGGCATGGCACCTGTGCAAGGAAGACACACAAATTCGTGAAGCAGTCCGTGGTTTTGGTGTTTATGAAAAGTGCATTAGTCTCTGGTGCTTGTCTCAGTCCCACAGACGCACCAGGATTCTTCTGAGGTTCTTCAGCCTTTCCTGTGCTTTGCTCAGCAGTCTCAGTGCATTTGCAGAGGAATATCCGTGTAACTGCAGTGGTGTTTAATAAGGATCTTGATCCTATACAGAAACTCTTTGTGGACAAGATAAGAGAGTACAGGTGACAGGCATCTGTAGGACCTGTTGTTACTGGCCCAGAGTATCAGCAAGAGCTGGAGAGAGAGCTATTTAAGCTCAAACAAATATATGGTAAAGGGGACATGAATACATTCCCTACCTTCAAATTTGAAGATCCCAAATTTGAAGTCATTGAAAAACCCCAGTCCTGAAGGAGTAATGTAAAATCAATCTGGTAATTTGTTGTGAATAATTTGTATAGTAATTAGAAAAATGTGAACAAACATTCATTTCACAATGAAGGACAATGAAAAAAAGAGTCCTGCACACAGAGACAGACACCCTGCAGCAGGACAACCGAGAAACAGAGCCATCATTCCATCTACAGAGCCAAAGGAACCACACACGCAAGTCAGAAGCACAAAACTGAAAACAGCACATCACAGACTTAGTGAGGAACACAGGACAACCTCAAGGATGGAACAAAGTGATCATAAAAGTTTAGAGCAAATTACATAGGGCACAAGAAAAATAAAATAAAAAGGGAATTCAGCAAGATACTGCAGCCAGGAAAGTCAGCCAAGAAAGGAAGAAGGCCCTGGTGGGAAAGGGCGGGGGGGGGGGGCGGACACAAGCAGAGCTGAAGCAGAAAAGTTAGACTGCGGCCCAGCAGCACTGAGACTAGTACCCAGGAAGCAAGACCTGACCTTCCCCAGAGACAGGCTCCTAGAGCACCTGAGACAAAGACCCCAGAGCATCTATTCCAAGATGCACAGGAGATAAAGTCTGTCACCCTCAGGCCTCCAGGTCAAAAGACCCACAAACATAGTCAAAGACCCAGGCTGGCTCTAGATTCTACAAAACCGTTAAAAAATGAAAGAAAGAAAGAAAGAAAGAAAGAAAGAAAGAAAGAAAGAAAGAAAGGAAGGAAGGAAGACAGACAGACAATCCTTGAAAGTCCTTAAAAATTTTAGGGTTACCTCTTCAAGGGGGGGATATGAGAGCAGCAAAAAGCTCCATTAAAAAAAAGGGAGGAAGGAAGGAAGGAAAGAAGAGAAAGAAAGAGAAAGAAAGAAAGAAAGAAAGAAAGAAAGAAAGAAAGAAAGAAAGAAAGAAAGAAAGAAAGAAAGAAAACCACAGAAACATCGTCAGAAAAATCTCAATGGGAAGTGCAGAGGGAGGGTGACACCAAGCCAGGAAGCCTACTCAGGAGAAAATATAGTATCCTTGTCCCACTAATGCTCTGAGGATCTGGGCAAGCAGGGAAAACACAAAAAACAAAACAGCCACAGTCTGTGCCTCATTTTGAAAAACATCAGCAGGGCTAGATTTGGCTACTGGGTACAGACCCCAGGTTTAAGGAAACAACAATATTGGGTACAGACCCCAGTTTTAAGGAAACAACAATACTGGGTACAGACCCCAGTTTTAAGGAAACAACAATATTGGGTACAGACCCCAGGTTTAAAGCAACAATATTGGGGTACAGACCCCAGGTTTAAAGTAACAACAATATTGCCTGTTGGGTTCTTGAGAACACGCAAATGCAATCATATGCCACACAGAGCTCTACACACCCTAGAGATTTCCACATGGCACGTTGAGGGGGCAACAGACTGGCCTCTGTACTGTCATGCACCTAAAATGATATTTCTATCACTGACCAGCTGTGTGTGACGGTGGTGCCCAAGACTATAAAGGAGCTAGAAACATCTACCTCATAATGTCACAGCGTTCAAAAAAACAGAGAAGCATGTGTTTTGGTAATGCTGGTGAATGACTAGTTCTACAAAAGCATGTGCAGCACTACAGTACCACTAACAATGAGTGACCATCACTGGTTTACATATTCATATGCTGTTTCCAGAGAGGTAGTGTCTCCTTCCTCCTCTTTACTAAAAGTCTTTTCAAGAACAGGTTGCCTGTGGCTCAGCAGCAGTCTCCCCCATCTTTGATCAGGTCTCCTTACTACATCCAGAAGTCACACTGCATGGCTGGCCTCTACTGCGTGTATGAGTACACTCTGGGCACTTGCTCAGCAAAATCACCTCACAACATACTTCTCAGAATGGGTCCCTGTTGTTATGTGACACATGACTGTGTATCACAAAGCTAGAGCAACCACTCAACATGTTTATAAGAAGGCAAACATCAAAAACATGAATTGGACCAGAATGAGAAATCTAAAGCCAAGCAACAATGAGAAACAGGACAAAATGCAGCGTGCACACACAGCCACCAAGAAGGGCAGACACAACCCTGACCATCAGTGCTCACAACCGCTAGTCTAGATCTGCTCCACATGCTGTGGCAGCTACAGGTCACACACGTGAAAGAGCTCCACGTTCTTACCAGCACCTCATCCACTGAAATGGTCACCAGCATCATAGGGCCAGTGGCAAACTACCAAACCATCCTGGAGTCAGACATTTGTCTTGCCACAGTGCCCAGCCTGGACAGCCACTGAAAGGTGGCGAGGGCAGGGAGGTCTCAGATGTGCTACCAGTGCCCCACTTCAGGAAGGCGCAGGCCGAGAAGGCGACACAGATAAAGAGCCACTGCACAGTGAGCCCAGGACGGTGGGGCAATGGTACTGATAACAGCAGCAAAGAGCAGGTGATGAAGAGCACCCAGAGCTATCAGAGAAGTGCAGCAAAACCACCCATGTGTGTATGTGTGTGTGTGTGTGTAAATGTGTGTGAGTGTGTGAGAGAGTGTATGGAGTGTCTGAGTGTGTGAGTCTGTGAATGTAGGTGTAAGTTTGTGAGTGTGTGTTAGTATGTGTGAATGTGTGCATATGTAGATGAATGTGTATATGAGACTGTGCATGTATGAGTATATGTGTGTGAATATGTGAGTGTGCGTGTATGTGTCCAACAACACAAAGCACAGTACACTGGGCAAAAATGAGAGAAAAAGACTCAAAATCACTGACGGAGTTTGCCATCCATTCTCAGCAAGTGACAACATACTTGTACAAGCACAAACTCACAGTCCTATGTAAATGTGTACACATGTACACAGGAATACACTCATGCACACACGTGCACATGTACACAGGCCGTCAGCCACATACACATATACACCATCAGGACACAGAACATCATCATCACGGGCCATGGACCTATGACACCACAGAGCCACAGGCCCAGTGACTGTAGGTGAGCTCTTTTCCATGGTGTGTTCATCAAGAGGCGCTGGCCATAAAGCAAGACTCAATGAATACTGGAGATGGAAGTCTCAGAGGCTACCCTCTGACCACAGGAACCAGAGTCCTAAAAGAACACACACACACACACACACACACACACACACACACACACACACACGCTGACTCATCAGAAAGCAAGCCTGCTGCCTGGTGGCAGGAGGAAGGGGAGGGATGACAAAGACCCCAGACCTCCCTTGAGCAATGGACAGTCACATCTTGGTCAGGCTGAGAAGCTTACACTATACACCTGTATCAGCACCTGGTGCTGTATATTTCAAATATGTTGAGTGAGCCATATACCAAGTATATCTCAATAAAAATCACAAAAAGTTTAATGTCTACCAACAGAGCAACCAGTTCTAACACAGACCTGTAAAGAGTGGGGGATGGACCCTGAGCAGCCGAGTCCCGGCTGACGGCCAACGGGAGACTCACTGCTGCCCTTCCAGTGCATAACACCTGGGGGCTGGGGGAGTTCCCTCACCAACCTTTTACAGATAACAGCAGAAACATTTGTGGACGACTCACCCTAGTCTGGTTTTGCTTAAAAATGATGCGAGTAGAGGATCAGGCCAACAGACTGAAACAAAGCTCAGCTGGAGCTGTGAGGCTGGCCTCGGGTCCATCCCACTCTCTTCTACTTCCACAGGTTTGAAGCTGTGTGGTGAGTACACATCTGTGTTTTAACTGAGTGGGAACAAAGTTAAGAGACCTAAAGCTCACATTCCCCTGGGGCCAGTGACCTGGGCCCTGCAGGAGCCCTGGATTAGAGAGGGAAACCACCTCAAAGCATCACGGTGAGCATACCTGGCTGTGGGAAATACTGTCTCCTTAGGGGGTCTCTGCTGTTACCTAGTTTGCTAATGAGAAGGCAAGGGAGACGGGAGGTTTCAGCTCTTTATAACCATCTGCTGTGGCACGTAGCTTGCAACCCGTGTCCAGCCCCCACAGCAGTGAGGAACCAGGCTTGGATAAAACATGCTATACCCAGCTGTCTGCAAGACATGACACAAGGGCCAGACAGCACACTCTAAAAACAGCACATTTAAAATGGATCTAGCCACTGCACCAGATGAGGAATTCAAAATAGCTCATCAGAAGATGATAATTTTTAATGGTATACTGCTGGAAGTTTTTGGATAAGAGGAAAAAACCTTTCATTTACAAGTGAGTGAAGCTGTGCAGTAATTTGTAACATGTAAACACCATGCTGAGGAAGCAGTAAGTCCCAGGGCACAGGAATAGGATACTGTCACTTTCCATGGGAAGACAGAGAAGGGGGCTGGTGCCAGGGGTTCTGAGGCAGATAAGCAGGTGACACTTTGGCTGCAATGTCATTTGACAAAGCAGACTCACAATCTTCCACTGGTTTCTGAAACATCCCAGGAATCACTGCCCTGGGGGACAAGTCTCTTTAGTGGTGAAATGAGACAGCACTTGCTCAACCCACCATGCAGGCTGTGACATAGTCCATACTCAAGGAAAGCCAGTGTACAGCACCTACCCACTTCTCTGGAGCAGATGCCCCCAGCACACCAAGTACATCAATACCTTGGGGACAGAGATACCAGTAATTCACTGCCACACAGCAATTCCCGACTCATACCACAGACAAGTCAACCAGG